ATTTGGGAAGATCTGTTCCACTCTGCTTGCAGATGACTTTCTAGTGGATGGATGGATTCAAACTCAATTCCATGGCTCAAAGGAATAGGCGGTCTTCTCTGAAAGCAGCCTCTGGCTCAGTGTGCTCTGTTTCCAAAGGTTGCTGAATCATCTGTACAGGACTGAAAGATATGAGGTCCCTCCCCCCTTTCTGGGTGACTCTCCGGGAAGAAACATTGCTGGTCAGACATGAGGAATGGAGAACAGAGGATAAAAAATGGAGAAGTAGAATGGAGGATGAATAGCTGGCAGGCAGAGTTTTGAACAGATATTAATGTTAACTTTACAGATGTCAAATAGACAGATGAAATCCATTCAATGACATATAGTACAGTAAATGCAAGAGTGAAACTTTTCCTGTAGATGAACTTAAAACATTCCCTCCTGATAACTTTGGGCTGCTTCTTAAAAGCACACAGAGAGAAAGAGAGTGAGAGGAGAAAAGAAAGAAAAAAGAACACAGTTCTCCTCACCCTGTTTTGCTGGCCAGGCAAAGTAGGGTAAGGGAATTTGCTTTGCTTATTTTAAAATTATTTCTAACAGAATTTAAAATTCTTTTACCTTTGGATTAGAGACATTTAACAATTACATTTAGTTCATATACAAAGACTTAGACACACAAAGACAAAGAAAAGAGAAAAGGAGAGGAAAACAAACTCTCAGTTTTCACACACTGGTCATTCCCAAATCTCAATTAACTCAAATTAGGGAAGAAACAACTTTTAAACATATCACATGTTTGCATAGAAAGAGAGGGACAGAGAAGATATATTCTTCTCTTTTAAGTACCTTTATTTAGCCAAATTGGTTTCCCAGCTTTGTCCCTGAGCAAAGCCCATTCCTCACATATCTCCCTTGCTCATTTTCTCTTCATACCGGCTAGGATGGGCACTCGCCAAAAATCTCCTAGGAGGGTTCCTGTCATGACCCTCAAGCTACAGCTTCTCATGTTCCCTTTCTGATGTGGGGTCCAATTGGCTTAGCCAGGTCTCCCTTTGCAGCCAAACTCTGCCGCTCCGCCTGTCAGTTCTCGGATTAAAAAAAAGACATCTTGGAGGACTCTGGTTCCCTCACAGAGTACAGGCACCTCTAACCAGAGAACACACCGCCTGTCACTTTGCGGACCAAAAAAGGGTCTAGGAGGACCTGCCACCCCCAACACAGCAGGTACGGGCACCTCCTTCAACTGCCGGTCACTTTTCAGACTCAAGAGAGTCTGGGAGGACTGCTGCTTTTTCCACACAGCAGGTAAAGGGACCTCCTAATCCAGGCTTTGCTCACTGACTTCCCAGCTGTTTTCAGGAAGAAGTCTCAAAATCATAAAGAAAGGATCAGGTCTCACCCAGTTTCCTCCACGTTGCTGTAGAATTGCTTGGTAGTGCTCGTTGACTTCCATAGTCCGCAGCTTAGGGCTGGCTACACAAATGTGTTTGGAGGATTTCCTCAGTTCAAACGACTGGGCTGCCACACACACACACACCCCACACACACACACAATCGACGAGCATCCCCTCCTTGCTTGCCGCCTCTGTGGGGCGACTTTCAACCCTTTCCAGGGTCTTCCATTGGGGCGAAATAAGATGCAAGAGACAGAGCCCCATCTTCAAGCATATGCATCACCACGAGATCCCAACTGGAAGTGTCTTTTTGGTATTCTGATAGTGCTGGGTTAATCCTTTTATTCTCAGAACACGCAATGGCAGTTCGAGGATTTTTTGGTCGGCTCCGCCAAGAACATCTCTTCAGTACCGGACGGCTCTGTGGACATGGTAATTGGCACGCTGGTGCTTTGCTCTATAAGCAGCATCCAGGCTGTCCTGAAGGAGATTCTGCGAGTGCTCAAACCAGTAAGTCAAAGGGAAAAGAACACCGAATAATGAGCACTAGGCTATGCATGCTTTGAAAATGATGGGGAGCAGGAGCTTTAGATCCTCCAGAACAGCACCCCTCTGCTGCTCTTTATGCTGCCAATTTTCAGACTTAACTTACGCTATGAAGGGGATTCCTTCTTAAAGCAACTGCAGCTTTCCTGCCTGCCTGTGTTTCTGAATCATTTTCAGACGGTGTACAACTTTAATGAATATGTGCACAACTTTAATGTTAGTAAATGGCAGCAAGCTTCTGGCCTGAGAGAGGAGCCTGCTTGGTACTTCAGTGAGAGATCTCCAGAAAATACTAGGTTGAAGCTAAACTGGAAAGTTAAAACAACCTCTCTGAGCAACAAGCCACTTTTGAATTGTTTCCAAAAATATTCCCCCCCAAATGGGGACGTCTGCATGAAATCACCAGGGATCAAGTTTGATTTGGAGGAGACTTGAGTAGGAACCCGAATAGATCAAGCTGCTAACTCTGTGGCAAGAGGAGAAGGAGGTTTTTACATGAGGAAAACATAGGGAAAAGAGCATTGTGGTGTCACAGTACATTCTGTGCCCATTTGGTATGTCTGCTGGGGCATAACACTTCTTTGGGAGTTTTTTCACTAGTCTTTCATTCTGCGGAAGCCTCTGTACAGCAAGATTCTGAAGTAAATAAACTGAAGGCTGCCCTTCACCTTTAAATAAAAGTTTAAAATGCTGCCCAAAATCAGCCATTTCCCTGCAGAATTTCAAAGCTATGTTCGTGTAGTGATAAGAAGCACAGAGAGAGGCTGGGGATAGCATGCAGTCCAGTGGCTTTGGGATGCTGTATATATATATTGATATTGTATGTGTCATGTGCTCCTGGCTACTTTCCTTCATGACCAGAGGCAAGCTTGCCTAACCAATAACCAGCCAAGACACAGTGAAGGCCTTTTGTTTTGTTTATTGCATAAGCAGGGAGAGAAGCTATCAAAGCTTGCTTCTCTCCAAAGTTTTAAACCAAAATATTTCCTTCTTTATACATCCCTTCTCCCGACCACCACATCCCTCCTCTTTCCCCATTGGCTGAGGTACTATGAGGTTACACTCTTTCCAACCACCTCCTACATATTTCCTGCCAATATATTAAATCATACATCACATGTATATTAAAATTAGGAGATAATTTATGCAAGATGTGTCAGTTAATATTAATCAATTAATTGTGCATGCTCAGTTGCCTGAGTTCTGGCCCCCTTTTTTATGACTTCTTAGAAAAATAGTTATCTTCTATTACAGATGTTGTCTTCTTCCTTCCCCACTCTTAAAATCCAGCTATTTTTGCCTACATATTTCTTTTACATCCTTTCTTTATTCAACCTTTCCTGTTTCTCATCATAGCTTCTCCACTCAGTAAATTTCCACTGCAGCAAATTCAATTTTAAATTTCTCTTTTAATATTAAATTTTGAAGACCTTTCTTTTACTTCTATCATATGCAGTTTGAGAAATGACCTATATATTTGCCGTACAGAGAAAATTAGCAGCCATTTCCATGGATGGAATAGTTACTCTGTGCTGCCCTCTGTAATCAAATAATAATCACCAGTAAAGCCAATGTAATCTTCTAAATAGGAAATGTAGGGTTGTTCCTAGCACCCTGAAACATGACTAAAATTTGGATGTTATTCTTATCAGGCTATTTGTCCAACTAGCTAGTTTTTCTCCAAAGAAACATATTGTTTATTAACCTTTATTGCTGTGTTTATAGCATATCCTCAGCCTCATTTTAATATATCCTGCTATGTGTCTAAAGTCCACATGGAAATTTATAACTAGCAGAACATCGACTAGCTTAAAGAGTGCCCCTGTGGTGATCTCAGGATCATCTGAAGAAGATACAAAGGTCTCATAAGATGTCTCATGATCTGCTCAAAGAACAGTAAGGGCATAATATGAGGACCTGATAAAACTGTAGACCAGGGCAAACAATCAAGAGTCACCCAAAACCAAGCCAAGGAACTGAAAATCAAAAAGCGCAGAAAAGAAGTGATAAGAGATGATCAAACATAGCAACAATCCTGGCAATATGAAGTTCAACGATGAGTCACAAGGCTCACAATGTTCCAATGCCATTTTTTTTTCAGGAAAAGATTCAGCGCCAAATGTTCCAACTTTCATATAAACCAAGTCGTGATTCAGACATATTGCTATAGGAGAGCAATAGTTCCTAAGGAAGCTGTAATTCTCAGTATGCCACCCAGCAATTTATAAAATGTTATGGTGCCCATCTTGAAATTTAAAGTGGACTCTGGATGGATTTAAATTTTATTTAAAACTTTAATAATACAGAAATTTATTTATAAAATGTAAATGCCGCCCAACTCTAAATTTAAAATGACTCTGGGCGCCTTTAAGCTTTATTTAAAACTTTAACAATAATACAGATATAAAGACTTCATTTCCCTCTTTTAAAAAGTACATCCACAGTTCTCTGTGCTTGTTTTATATTTTTCTGTCTTACTATAATTTTATTTAAAACAAGTATTTGCAAAAAAAAAACCCTATGAATAAACATATCACTATTTTCACCATACAAACTGTATAAAACAGAATGCATTATTTTTATGTAATGGTGTATGGAAATAAATTTGGCAGACAGAAGGAAGAGCTATGAATTAGAAAAATTAGACAATGATTAGACAAGAAGCAAATGAGTCTGCAGAAGCAGTGAGGAGGTGGCAAGTTCCCTAGTTTCTTAGATTGGAAAGATGTGCTTTCAGACATGCAAGCTTTTGTTAATTTAACATTACAATAAAGCTAGAGCAAGTATTTCTGGGTGGGCTTCTTGTCTGGACTATCTTGCAAAGTTGATTTTTATGATATATATATATATATATATATATATATATATATATATATATATATATATATATATATATTATATATATATATATATATATATATATATATATATATATATATATATATATATATATATATATATATATTATATATATATATATATATAATATATATATATATAATATATATATATATATATATATATATATATATATATATTTAACTTAGTACCAAATCCTCCACTCTATTGTTTAAAGGAAAAATAACGTCACTCTACTACTCCTACACCAGCTCACTGCTGGAGGTGTCTGACGGGATAAGACCTCATCCCCTTCCCGCCCATCTCTTAGCTCTCTTAGTTTCAGTTTTAGTAGTTTTTAATGATATTTTAATCTATGCAACTTTAATATTTTAATTATCTTTTACTTGTTTTATAACTTGTAAGCCACCCTGAGTCATCTTGCAAGGGAGATGGATGACATAAAAACTGAATAAACACAATCTGAATTTAAATCAAATTCAAATGTTCATTGGGTATTTTTTTCAACAACTGACCGATAGAGTTGCCGTCGCTTTAAGGAAGAACTGGAACAGATCCCAGCCGGAACTGTGTGTCGCTTTCCTTGCGCAACTTTATTAAGGGAACGGGGAGGAGCGGACAATATTTAAAGCAAAACATTTAGGGAGTCAAGCTGCTTGGCTACAGGGAGGGCTTCTCTTCTTATTCCGGCGACGATGCTGCTTCTCATCTTCCAACAATGCATGAAATTCCTCACCCTGCCCATCCATGTGCTTGCCTATTTTGGCTTATGGGACCGTATTTCTAAAAGAACTTTCCCAGCTTTCATGATGGCATCGAGCAAAGTCTACAATATAAGAATGCACAAGGAAAAGGAGACGCTGTTCAAGAACCTGCGGGACTTCGCCGACGACTCGGGAAAGCTCCACCTGCTGGAGATTGGCGTGGGCTCCGGCACCAATTTTCAGTTTTATCCACCCAAATCGCGCATTACCTGCGTGGACTACAATCCCAACTTTAGAAACTTCCTCCTGAAGAGCATGGCTCAGAATACGCACCTGCAGTTCGAGAATTTTGTGGTCGGCTCTGCCGAGAACATCTCTTCGGTACCGGACGGCTCTGTGGACGTGGTGGTTAGCACGCTGGTGCTTTGCTCTGTCAAGAATACCCAGGCTGTGCTGAAGGAGGTTCTGCGAGTGCTCAGACCGGTAAGTCGAAGGGCAAAGACCACCGAATAATGAGCACTAGGCTATGCATGCTTTGAAAATGATGGGGAGCAGGAGCTTTAGATCCCCTGTGCATGCTTTGAAAATGATGGGGAGCAGGAGCTTTAGATCCCCCAAAACAGCAGCTCTCTCTGCTCTTTCCGCTGCCGATTTTCAGACTTAACTTTCGCTACGAATGGGATTCCCTCTTAAAGCAACCGCAGCTTTCCCGCCTGCCTGTGTTTCTGAATCATTTTCAGACGGTGTACACCAGTGATGATGGCGAACCTTTTAGAGACTGAGAGCCCAAAAACTGGCCCCGCCCCCACTCCACCCCCTGCTCTTCCCCATCTTCCGCCCCACCTGCCCGCAGGGCCACTCCCGGTCTCCAGGGCCTGCCGCAGATCGCCCAGGCAGCCCAGCAACGCTATGGTGGTCATTCTCTCTGCCCGCGCCCTGCAGCATCAATTGTGCATGATGGGTGTGAGGGCAGAATCTTGTCTATGCTGCCTGGCTGCCATGTCCTTGGCTACGCTGCTTCATGTGGGCCACGCTCAGGGGCGACTCTCCTTCAGGGGGGCTGCTTGGGAAGAGGGGGTCACGGGGGGGGGCAGCCAAGGCTGGGGCAATGGCATGTGTGCCCACAGAGAGGGCTCCGAGTGCTGCCTCTGGCACCCGTGCCATAGGTTTGCCACCATTGGTGTACACCTTTAATGAGTATATGCACAACTTTAATGTTAGAAAAGAGCAGCAAGCTTGTGGCCAGAGAGAGGAGCCTGCTTGGTACTTCAGTGAGAGATCTCCAGAAAATACTAGGTTGAAGCTAAACTGGAAAGTTAAAACAACTTCTCTGAGCAATGACAAGCCTCTTTTGAATTGTTTCCAAAAATATCCCCCCCCCCCCAATGGGCACGTCTGCATGAAATCACCAGGGATCAAGTTTGATTTGGAGGAGACTTGAGTAGGAACCTGAATAGATCAAGCTGCTCACTCTGTGGCAAGAGGAGAAGGAGGGTTTACTTGAGGAAAACATAGGGAAAAGAGCCTTAGGCTGTCACAGCACAGGCTGTGCCCATTTGGTATGTCTGCTGGGGCACAAAATACAAAGCAAATATTAGGACACAATGGGGAAGGGAAAGGGAGGAAAAAGAACAAAAAAGAGCTAGTACTTCTGGGTGTGCTTCTTGTCTGGACTATCTTGCAAAGCTGATTTTTATGATATAAAGTATATATTTTTTAATTTAGTACTAAGTCTCCAACTATTGTTTAAAGGAAAAAATAACATGACTCTACTACTCCTACACCAGCTCACTGCTGGAGGTGGCTGACGAGATAAGACCTCATCCCCTTCCCTCCATCTCTTAGCTCTCTTAGTTTCGGTTTTAGTGCCGTTTTTAGTGATATTTTAATCTATGTAACTTTAATATTTTAATTATCTTTTACTTATTGTATAACTTGTAAGCCACCCAGAGTCAGCTTGCAAGGCAGATGGATGACATAAAAATTGAATTAGTAAATACACAGTGAAACTTACAATTCTTTGAACCCTTTTGAATTTTTAATATTTCTGCATACGTTTGACCTAAACTGTGATTGGCTGTCCACAATTAAATTCTAGACCTAGATAAAAACAAGGAGGAGGAAAGTGTATCGGATGTGCTCTCCACCTTGAGTTATTTGTAATAATAATAAAGCAAGGGTATAAATAAATAAATAAATAAATAAATAAAGGAATAAATTATTGGAATTTTGAGTTTGATATGTGGAACTATATTGAACTGGTTCAGCTACTTTGTCACCATCCTTAATTAAAAAGGCCAATTCTCAGTTTTCCTAGAACTTGAATCACCTGTAAATCATTAATGGATAAATTGTATTCCACTTTTATTTTGTCTTTATATTTAATTATTGCTTTAGATCCCCAGACAGTTATATAACAACAATTTTGATTACAGTGTGACTTTTTTATGTAATTTCAAAGTGTTCTGATTTATATTTTTTCTTTTTTGCATTATTTTACTTTTTCCAGGGTGGTGCATACTTTTTCATAGAACATGTAGCAGCTGACAGATCAACCTGGACCTACTTCTGGCAACAAGTCTATAACCCTACCTGGGGATATTTGACAGATGGGTGTTCCGTGTTAAGAGAGAGCTGGAAATATATCGAGAATGCGGGGTTTTCTAAACTGAACTTGCAACACATCAGAGGCTCATTGTTCATAAGTATAGTTTCTCCCCATATTTATGGATATGGTGTGAAGTAATTGTTCAGTCTGGAGAAAGCATCTTTCTCTTAAAATCAGATTTCTGAATTTAAGGAATTAACAGTAACAATGCATATGCTGCAATAAGAAAAGGATTTCTTCTATTCTATATGATTCGGAGTAGAGAAAAGTTCCTAAACGTTCAGGCTGCACTAAGCCTCAATGGTACCTTGGATCAAATTTGGAGGGAGGGCAAATAATAAATGTAAAAATTAATTTAAAAAAACAAAAGACCATGTAGGGGGAAAGCCCCCACCATTTTGCTGTGGCATCACTTAGACACCATGTCAGCTGCCCAAGAAGGATAGCTCGAGGAGGCCTTTTTGGGGGGGGGTATTACTCATAACCTGTGTGGAGTTCTCTAGTAACAAATCGGTAATGGAAAAAGCTCTAACTTAAGCACAAGCAGAGCAAGGAACCTCTGTTTAATAGTACTTCAGGCAGAAGCCTTTGTTGGCTTTTAGGAGAGGCCTACACAGAAAGACTTTTCTCAGCTTCTTACTGCCTGTACTTGTAGAGAGGGTAAAACTGCATATATTGACATGGGATTAGACTGAAAGCTAAGGCTTAGCATTTAGAAACTGATAATGTTGTATCAAAGCTTGCCAACTGCTGAATTATGTATTATCTCCTAGTTTTACTTATCATGCTTTTCATTTTCAATAAAAAAGGGTTTGAGGTTTTTTTTCTCTCTCTCTCTCTGGTGAACTTTTGTTCATGACTTTTTCTGAGTATGGGCAAATGCAAATATTGTGTCCCCTGGTTCTGGGATATATTGTGTAACTGATCCATGGAAAAGCCTGGTCCTCAATAATCATTTTAAGTGGGGACTGAGAAGAGATTTGCTGTTAAACCTTAACCTGATATTTACCTGTTTGTAGAAACATTTTTGGAAAATGCTTCAACATATTTGTTTAGCATCACCCCATCCCGTTTCTATCTATCATTTACAGAAGATCCCAGATTAGCAGGGACTGTGGCCAATTCTTTGTGCAGCACAAAGAATCTTCCCTGTTGTTGGCCCCTGGGATATTCCAGAATTCCAAAATCCAGCTTTAAATGCCCTCAACCTAGTGCTTTTTTCATTTTTTAAAATTTATTACAGTCAAAGATTTATATAGAGAAAACCAAACTGTTTAAAAATAAAAGGATGGATATAAAACACAAGGTAAAAGAATGTACAGAATATGACTTCTTGTTCGCTGGCGCAGCTGCTGCGGAAGCTTGGAAGGCGACTCCATCTTCCACATCCGATTTTCCTTCAATGGGGGACCCTGGAAAGGGTTGAAAATCGAGCAAGGAGGGGACCCCCGCTTGATTGCGGGAGGGCGGCAGCCCTTCCACTCAGTTCAGGGCAGCCCTCCAAACTGGCGGAGAAAAGACTGGCCATAGCAATATGACTCGTCATTAGGCTGCAGACAGCCAAAGTCAAATCTACTATCAAGCACTTTGAAAGCAATGTGGATGAAACTGGGTGAGATCTGATCTTCTCAGGACTAAAACTCAATACATCAAGATACGATGAAGGAAGCTGATTTATCCATTGTTAAATGAATAAAGAGATACACTTGACCATAAAGTCAAATAAGTCGTATTAAAAGACAAACAAGTTGTAATGTATGTACAGTAACAACTTATATTTGGATAACCATCCCCTAACTCATTTGTGGTCTCAATTTCCCCTCTAAAAATGCTACTTTTTTTTCACGAATATCCAGTGAGATTGCATTCACTGTAGATACCATTATTATGAGAAAAAACAAATTCCTTTCTAATAACTACTTATACAGATTCACAAGTTTAACTGTTCATCTGTTTTCCTTTTCTTCTATACTAAAAAGTATCATTGGAGCTTCTCTTTTTAAGGGAGTGTTCATTTTATTTGCCCTTCACCGCTTCTTCCTAAATTTATAGTATCCTTTTAAGATGCAGTCACCAACATTTCAAAGGAATGATGGGGAGAATAAAATAAACCTCGTATCATGACAAGCAGAAATGGTAGAAGAATAATGTTTTTAACTCATTTGTTTAATTAGTTTGTTTTTATCTAGATCTAGAATTTAATTGTGGACAGCAAATCGCAGTTTAGGTCAAACGTATGCAGAAATATTAAAAATTCAAAAGGGTTCAAAGAATTGTAAGTTTCACTGTGTATTTATGAATTCAATTTTTATGTCATTCATCTCCCTTGCAAGCTGACTCTGGGTGGCTTACACATTATAAAACAAGTAAAAGATAATTAAAATATTAAAGTTACATAGATTAAAATATCATTAAAAACTGTACTAAAACCAAAATTGAGAGAGCTAAGAGATGGACGGGAAGGGGATGAGGTCTTATTCCATCAGCCACCTAAAGCAGTGAGCTGGTGTAGGAGTAATAGTCATGTTATTTTTCCTTTAAACAATAGAGTGGAGGCTTTGGTACTAAGTTAAATATATATATATATATAATATCATAAAAATCAGCTTTGCAAGATAGTCCAGACAAGAAGCACACCCAACCTTTTTTGTTCTTTTTCCTCCTTTTCTTCTCCCTATTTCTTTCCCATTGTGTCCTACTATTTGCTTTGTATTTTGTATTTTATTTTACATCTTAATAAAATGTTTTTTAAAAAAAGAGAGAAATCTCTCTAACTCTTCTCTCATACATTTGACCTTTACTTGTGCTAAAGAAAGACGTTATGTGATACTTTAGAAAGCCAAAAAAACTCCCAAAGTAGTATTGTGCCCCAGCAGACATACCAAATGGGCACAGCCTGTGCTGTGACAGCCTAAGGCTCTTTTCCCTATGTTTTCCTCACGTAAACCCTCCTTCTCCTCTTGCTACAGAGTGAGCAGCTTGATCTATTCGGGTTCCTACTCAAGTTTCCTCCAAATCAAACTTGATCCCTGATGATTTCATGCAAACGTCCCCATTTGGTGGGTGGGAAATATTTTTGGAAACAATTAAAAAGTGGCTTGTCATTGCTCAGAGAAGTTGTTTTAACTTTCCAATTTAGCTTCAACCTAGTATTTTCTGGAGATCTCTCACTGAAGTACCAAGCAGGCTCCTCTCTCAGGCAAGAGGCTTGCTGCCATTTACTAACATTAAAGTTGTGCATATATTCATTAAAGTTGTACACCGTCTGTAAATGATTCAGAAACACAGGCAGGCAGGAAAGGTGCTGTTGCTTTAAGAAGGAATCCCATTCATAGCGAAAGTTAAGTTTGAAAATCGGTAGCATAAAGAACAGCAGAGAGGTGCTGTTTGGGGGGATCTAAAGCTCCTGCTCCCCATCATTTTCTGTTGGAGTCATTGGTTAAAACAAGTTTGTGCCGTGCGGTGCAAGGGAATGTTGTTTTGGTGTTTGTTAGTGCCGTGTGCAACAGCTGTATAGTAGCGTGTGCAAAACAAAGTTAGCACGTGTAATATGCTAATATGCTGTGTCATGACAAATGTGGTTGGTGTAAGGTGGTCACCAGGTGCCTATAAACCCGCCTTCTGATAACACAATAAAAGGGATGCTTCGTCTTTGTTCGAGGCTCCCATCCCGAGGAAACCACGTGTACGTGTCTGTTCTTCAACACCCATGGGAGACCGCTGGGCGCGTGAAAACCCGCAAATGGTGACCCCGACTTCAGCTTGGCCTGGCCGTAATGCACCCACTGTAGACCAGTTAACTGGAAGTGGGAATTACACTTACCTGGGGAATCAACAAGCAATGAACCCTGTGTTCTATTCCCATTCAGCTCTAGCTGCTAAAGCTGCTTTAACAAGAGTAGATGACCCACAAAGGGGAACAAAAGGCTCTTTTGTAAAGATTTTTCAAGGGCCTAATCAGTCTTATGGGGAATTTGTGGATCAGTTACAAAAGGCCATTTCTAGGGAAATCACAAATGATATAGCCTGCGAGGAATTGTTGAAGAAACTTGCCTTTGAAAATGCCAATGAGGACTGCAAACGAATCCTGCAGCCCTTAATGAGCAAACCTGATGCAGGATTGGCAGAATATATTCAAGCCTGTAGAATTGTGGGGACCAATGCATTTAACATGGAAACTTTGGCTATGGCCTTACAAAAAGCAGGAAGTAATGGGCAAACTGAGGGTAAAGCTGGTAACTGTTTTAATTGTGGGAAGCCTGGTCATTTTAAAAATCAGTGCCGGGCCCCAGGAGGGGGTGCAAATAAAAGCAGGGGAGTAGGAGCCAGACCAAAAACTGTCTGCCCGCGCTGTAAAAAGGGGTTTCACTGGGCAAACCAGTGTCGCTCCAACCCCATGCCCGCTGATTCCCAGGAACCGGGAACCTAGAGCTGGGGCATTCAGCTAGCCCCGCCTCAAAGGCTGAACCTTATCATTTTGTCCTGGTGGCCTCTGAGACAATAACCACAGGTTTATCTGGGCTGTCATATTTTTTGCCAATCCAGCCGGCTGTCCCTTTTCCCCCTGATTGTGACACCCCTCTGTTAGTGTTTCCTCACCGTGACTTTATTATGCAGGGAGTAATGGCTATGCCATTTTTGAAAGACCCAGCTGACTTTACTTCAGTCGCTTTGGCATTTACCCCTAACACTCCCATGACTGTTTTTGAGGGAACAGTAGTGGCAACTGCCGTCCCTGTGCCCCAACAACCACAAGTTTTGGCCATTGAGCAAGAAATTCAAAAGTTCCACCCCTCTATGGCCTTTCAAGTCAATGGACGCTCCTTTTTTGGTATTCTAGATACCGGAGGTGATGTATCGGTCATAAGAGAGGAGGAGTGGCCCTCTGAGTGGCAGACCGACAGCGCACCGTCGGTTCGGGGAGTGGGAGGAGTCCAACACGCACGTGTGAGCAAACACTGGCTTTCTGTGACCTCAGAAGAAACATCAGTAACTGCCCACATTAAACCTGTCATTCTTCCACTTCATACTAATCTGTGGGGTCGGGATTTGATGAGTCAGTTCAATGCAAAATTAATTTTGGATTAAGATGTCTCAATTAATAAAGTTAAACCTCTTGACTGACACCCCAGTTTGGGTGGATCAGTGGTCTTTAACCAAAGAAAAATTAGCCGCTCTGGTGCAATTGGTAGATCAACAATTAGAGTTAAAACACATTGAACCCTCATTGAGTCCTTATAACACTCCAGTGTTTGTCATAAAGAAAAAATCTGGAAAATGGAGAATTTTAAGTGATCTCCGGGTTATCAATAAGATCATTCGCCCCATGGGAGCGCTCCAATGCGGTTTACCTAATCCTAATTTGATACCAAAAGACTATGACCTTATGGTTATAGATTTAAAAGATGCATTTTTTTCTATTCCACTACACCCAGAGGACAAACACCTATTTGCTCAAGGAATGCTAAACAGTCCTACAATATGTCAATATGTTGTCAATCAGGTTTTAAGACCATATCGGGACAAGTTTCCTCATTTTAAAATTTACCATTATATGGATGATATTCTAGTGGCAGCTCCAGGGCCCTCAGGTACAGTATCAGCAACCTTGCCTGTTCTAACCTCCATTTTTCAAACAAATGGGTTTTTTATTTCACCTGAAAAAATTCAGCTTAAACACCCCTTTCTGTACTTGGGCCACAAGCTTTTAGCCTCACACGCCGAGCCTCAGCTGTCTAAGTTGTGTCTTCCACCATGCCCAACCTTAGTCCAACTTCAACAATATTTAGGATCAATTAATTGGGCCCGTCCCTACATGGGACTAACCACCTCTCAATTGGCTCCATTGTTCTCTGCTCTTATGCAGGGAAAAAATCCAGGAGATAAGATCGTGTTAACTCAACAACAACTTAAAACTTGTGACATCATTCAACATGCATTGTCAAAAGTATGGGTCGATCGTGTTCAGCCCAATATGCCTTTTTCTATGCTAATTTTCAACACTGTTGACCTTCCTACAGCAGCTTTGGCTCAGATCGTGTCTAACAAAAAAATGATGATTGTAGAATGGATCCACTTATCTCACACCCCAAAGAACACCATTTCACAGAAACATACGCTCTTTGCTCAGCTTATAACAAAATCTCGCTTTAGGGCAAAGGCTTTAGGGGGTGTTGAACCATCCTTTTTATATATCCCTTGTTCGCTAACGGCTTGGGACAGTTTGTTGGCCAATTATGAATCTTTGCAGCAAGCACTTGCTGATTGGCCAGGAGAAGTGTCTTGTCATCCACCATCAGATCCTCGCATTTTTTTATTAAAAACAGTCCCATTTAAATGGCAATCTCCTTATGTTTCTTTCCCTTTAAAAGAAGCAATAACGGTGTTTGCAGACGGCAGCAAGACTCATGGAGCCTGTGCTTGGAAAGAGGAGGGTAAGTGGTGTACAAAAATCACCCCCCCCACAGACGTCAGCTCAGCGCTCTGAGTTAGTGGCAGCCACAATGGCATTTTTTCATTTTAAAGATCAACCTTTTAATTTGATCCTGGACAGTTTATATGTTACCCAAATTGTCAAAACCATTTTTGATTCTTATTTAGCACCAAATGTCTCAATGGATCTGTTAACATTATTTTTGGACTTGCAACATCTCATAAATGATCGGAAACATCCATTTTTTGTTGCTCATATTCGTAGCCATCAGCCTTTTCCAGGTCCACTCCAAGAAGGCAATGATGTTGCCGATGCTGCCGCCTCACAAACACCTCTTAATATGCCACTCACTTTTTTAACCCCTTGGGAAAGTCACTCCTATTTCCATCAGAATAAGAAAGCATTAATCAAACAATTTAATCTTTCAGCTGCTGAAGCTACTGCCATCGTTCAGCAATGTCCAACCTGTAGCAAGCAAGCACACTCCATACCACTAGGAGTAAATCCTCGTGGTTTGGAGAGCTGTCAAATTTGGCAAATGGATATTACTCAATATCCTCCCTTTGCCCCTTGGAAACATCTTCATGTTTCTATTGATACATATTCTGGCTTTATTATGGCTTCCCCCCAGAGGGGTGAGGCCACTAAACATGTTATCAATCACTGTATTCGGTCATTTGCATCGTTGGGACGCCCCAAAGAACTAAAATCAGACAATGGACCTGCTTATATTAGCTCTGCTTTTGCAGAATTCTGTACAAAATGGTCCATTGTTCATAAATTTGGCATTCCGTATAATAGCCAAGGTCAAGCCTTGGTTGAGCGAGCAAATCAAACATTAAAAACAGCTCTCAATCGATATTTAAATGAAAAGGGGAAAATCGCCCCTGGCCTCCCAGCAGTGCAAAACATCCTTAACTTGTGCCTTTATACACTAAACTTTTTAAATCTGACGGGCGATCCACCATCAACAGCTGCCTCTCGTCATTTTTCAACAGTCCCTCCCCCTACTTCAAGACCTCCAGTCTACTATCGACGGCTTCCAGACCCCACGTGGAAAGGTCCTGCAGAGCTTATCACCTGGGGGAGAGGCTACGCTGCAGTAGATGATCATGGCAAAATCATTTGGACTCCAGCTCGCTGTGTTCGTCCTTATTTGGTTCAATCTCCACCATCCTAACCAGACATCAGATGACCATGGACCCTGGGCCCATAACTCTTTTATGAAAGATGTGCAGAATATTTCTCGCCTTTTGAACAAGACTGAGTGTTGGATGTGCATGCATATTCCAACCCTGGAGGAGGGGGGACTTTTTATGCATGCGGTGCCTTTTAATACAACTGGTTGGAAACAATTTCCTTGGTCTAGAGGGACTCTTTCCAATGCTATGGTGAATTATAAGGTATATACAATAGGAAGCAGAATCCAGGAAAAAGCAGCGTTTTGTTGGGAATATAAGAACACTGCTAAAAACTCTGTTTTAGTAGGCAGATACCCATATTGTAACATCACATTTCAACTTTCAAACAACATGACTAGACCACATCCCTTTAAGAAAATTCCTCTTTTTGACTCCCTTGATGATTTTTCTGAATATATGTGTACCTATCAAATAACTGGATGCTCGCTATCAACAGGATGTCACCCCGGCAACACAGACACGATGTCCACACTCTTCCTTTGCAGTATTGTAAGAGCCATGGCTCGCCAAACTGTGCAAAGCTCCAACACGACTACAAATATATTAAGTAATGTATGGATGCTTTGTGGCCGGCGGGCATATCAACGTATACCCCCACGGTGGTCTGGCCGTTGTACATTGGGCTTTCTTGCTCCCTCAGTTTTTGTTTCAGATCAGCCACCTTCAGGCCGTTTGCGCAATCGAAGAGATCTAGAAAATGGCCTGGGAGGACCTGGCAGTACAGGAACGCAAATTGCACGATCTATATTTCCATCTATGGGGGTAGCCATGAATTACAGAGACATCTATGCATTAAATAACTGGACTATGCACATGTTCAACGCTACCATTCAGACTACCAAATTGTTAAACAAGGAAGTGGCAGAAATACGAGAGATTGTTCTACAAAACCGTTATGCTTTAGACATTATCCTTGCCTCGAAAGGAGGAGTATGTGCCTTAATCCATTCTCATTGTTGTGTTTATATCTCTGATTACAAAGCCAATATCACAGGTACCATTGAGCATATGGAAGACATGGTTCGTCATGATCCATTACAATCTGACAGATCTGGCGCAATAAACATTTGGGATGCCCTATGGTCTTGGTTACCTGACGGAACCTGGCTGCGATCTTTAGTTTCTGGTATTATAACTATTGTAGTTATTTTAGTTCTGATATGTTGTTGTATTCAATGTTTGCCTTCTTTGTTTATGATGTTTAAAAATTTTTCCTCAGGAACTGTCACCCACCAACAGGTCAATTTAGTAACTACACCTATCACTGCAGTTCAGCAACCCTTGCTAACTAAACCAGCCTTCACTTTGCCAAGCGACACTGAGGATGACTTCCTATAAAGCGCAACCTCCTTATTTTTTAAATAAAACAGAAAAGTAGGAGATGTTGGAGTCATTGGGTTATCTGGCCTGTTAGGCTGAGTCATCAGCTGCAGTAGGCCAAGGTATGAGGAAGTCAAAAGTGAAAAAACAAGTTTGTGCCGTGCGGTGCAAGGGAATGTTGTTTTGGTGTTTGTTAGTGCCGTGTGCAACAGCTGTATAGTAGCGTGTGCAAAACAAAGTTAGCACGTGTAATATGCTAATATGCTGTGTTATAACAAATGTGGTTGGTGTAAGGTGGTCACCAGGTGCCTATAAACCCGCCTTCTGATAACACAATAAAAGGGATGCTTCGGCTTTGTTTGAGGCTCCCATCCCGAGGAAACCACGTGTACGTGTCTGTTCTTCAACACCCATGGGAGACCGCTGGGCGCGTGAAAACCCGCAATTTTCAAAGCATGCATAGCCTAGTGCTCATTATTCAGTGGTCTTTGCCCTTTGACTTACTGGTCTGAGCACTCGCAGAACTTCCTTCAGGACAGCCTGGGTGTTGTTGACAGAGCAAAGCACCAGCGTGCCAACCACCACGTCCACAGAGCCATCTGGTACCGAAGAGATGTCCTCAGCGAAGCCGATCACAAAATTCTTGAACTGCAGGTGCGTATTCTGAGCCATATTCTCCAGAAGGACGTTTCTATAGTTGGGATTGTAGTCCATGCAGGTAACATATGAGTTGGGTGGATAAAACTGAAAGTTGGTGCCGGGGCCCACGCCGATCTCCAGCAGGTGAAGCTTTCCCGAAGCATCAGCGAAGTCACTCATGTTCTTGAATAGCATCTCCTTTTTCTTGTGCATTCTTATATTATAGAGTTTGCTTGCTGTCTTCAAGAAAACTGGGAAGGTTTTTTTACAAATAGGGTCCCATAAGCCAAAATAGGCAAGCACATAGATGGGCAGGATGAGAATTTTCATGCATTGTTGGAAGATGAAAAGCATCATCATTGCCGGACTAGGAAGAGAAGCCCTCCCTGCAGCAAAGCAGCTTGACTCCCTCAATTTTTTGCTTTAAATATAGTCCGCTCCTCCCTGTTCCCTTAATGAGGCTGTGCAAGCAAACCAACACCCCCCACCCCCGGTTGGGATATGTTCCAGTTCTTCCTTAAAGTGTTAGCAACTCTTTCAGTCACTTGTTGAAAAAAATACCCAGTGAACATTTGAATTATATTTAAATGCAGATTGTATTTATTAATTCAATTTTTATGTCATCCATCTCCCTTGCAAGATGACTCTGGGTGACTTACAAGTTATAAAACTAGTAAAAGATAATTAAAATATTAAAGTTACATAGATTAAAATATCATTAAAAACTGTACTAAAACCGAGAGCTAAGATGGACGGGAAGAGGATGATGTCTTATCCCGTCAGACACCTCCAGCAGTGAGCTGGTGTAGAAGTAGTAGAGTGATGTTATTTTTCCTTTAAACAATAGAGTGGAGGCTTTGGTATGTGGGAAGTCAGCCCCACAGAGAAGGAAATATTAAAAGGGCAGAAAAATATATTTCCTCAAAGGATCTTAAAGAGGCAGAAAAGCATGCCCAGTTTTTCTTAATAGCCCCAGGTCTCCCTCCCCCAACCAGAAACCAGCTCTGTAGAAATGCAGATGGAGGCCCCAGCTGGAAGATCAAGAAGATAAAGACACCTAAAATCTACATACTCAACCCAAACTCTAAGACAGGATATAATAGGATTAACACAGAGACACCAAAGGGCACACTCAGACTCAGGTCAAAGTTCATGCCAGAGGAAGCGACTCCAAACAAAAGGCTCCAGAGGGTATAAAAACCCACTCCCCACATGTGCTCAGCCCCTTTTTCCCTCTTTTCTGCCTGAGCCATCTTTCTGTCTAATTGTCCTCTTCAATAAACTGCAACTTTCTTTCTAAAGCAGTCACCATGTTGTTTATCCCCGGCTTGGACTGAACCAAGACTTTTCTTCCAACAGGTACTATTTTAAAAAATAGATACTTTATACCATTAAAATCAGCTTTGCAACATAGTCCAGATAAGAAGCACCCCCAGAAGTACTAGCTCTTTTTTGTTCTTTTTCCTCCCTTTCCCTCACTTTCTTCTCCATATTTCTTCCCCATTGTTTCCTACTATTTGCTTTGTATTTTGTATTTTATTTTACATCTTAATAAAATGTTTTTTTTAAAAGGGAGAAATCTCTCTTTCTAACTCTTCTCTCATACATTTGACCTTTACTTGTGCTAAAGAAATATGTTATATGATACTTTAGAAAGCCAAAAAAACTCCCAAAGTAGTGTTGTGCCCCAGCAGACATACCAAATGGGCACAGCCTGTGCTGTGACAGCGTAAGGCTCTTTTACCTATGTTTTCCTCATGTAAACCCTCCTTGTCCTCTTGCTACAGAGTCACAGCTTGATCTATTCAGGTTCCTACTCAAATCTCCTCCAAATCAAACTTGATCCCTGATGATTTCATGCAGACATCCCCATTTGGGGGGGGGGTTTGGAAACAATTAAAAAATGGCTTTTCATTGCTCAGAGATGTTGTTTTAACTTTCCAGTTTGGTTTGAACCTAGTATTTTCTGGAGATCTCTCACTGAAGTACCAAGCAGGCTCCTCTCTCAGGCAAGAGGCTTGCTGCCATTTACTAACATTAAAGTTGTGCATATATTCATTAAATTTGTACGTCTGTAAATGATTCAGATACACAGGCAGGCAGGAAAGATGTGGTTGCTTTACGAAGGAATCCCATTCATAGCATCAGTTAAGTCTGAAAATCAGCAACATAAAGAGCAGCAGAAAGGTGCTGTTTTGGGGATCTAAAGCTCCTGCTCCCAATCATTTTTAAAGCATGCACAGCCTATTGCTCATTATTCGGTGATCTGGATAGACCAGACTGAATTCCCCTCTTTGCCCTTTGACCTACTGGTCTGAGCACTTGCAGAACCTCCTTCAGGACAACCTGGATGCTGTTGACAGAGCAAAGCACCAGCATACTAACCACCACATCCACAGAGACTTTGGTACTGAAGAGATGTTCTTGGCGGAGCCGACCACAAAATTCTCGAACTGCAGGTGTGTGTTCTGAGCCATGCTCTCCAGAAGGATATTTCTAAAGTGGGTATTGTAGTCCATGCAGGTAACGCGCGAGTTGGGTGGATAAAACTGAAAATTGGTGCTGGAGCCCACGGCGATCTCCAGCAGTTACCTCCTTCGGAGCCTTCCTGATCCCGATGGGCATGCCGGCATGGGTCTGCCTGCTTCATCCTGAAAAGCACGGTTCACCCAGCACTTCCCATTCTCACACACACGTCTCTCCAAATCCTTCCCATTCTCTTCTGCCTCTTTCTCCAAAGTCTTTTCTTCTCTCCATCTCCCACCCAAACTGCCTCCTTTTATATCCCTTACTGTCTCCGCCCCCTCCTCCTCCTTTCTCTATCAGGTGAGCCAGAAGTGCCGATCCTGGGGCCTTTGTCTTGCCCCAACTAGCTCCGCAGCTCCTGAGGACTCTCTCATGGCAAGTCCTCTGCTATGCTGCTTTGGCTCATTTCCTCCCCACTACCGTTGGCTGGGCTGGGCAGGGCCGCGTACCACCTGCCATATGCCAATGTACCACCAATGGTATGCGTACCACTGGTTGAAATGCCCTGGGTTAGATAGCTTTTAACATTCCTAAATTGAAAAGATAAATATTCAGATTGATTATTTACTCTGTTCAGGAATTTAGGAATAGCTTTTAACATTCCTAAATTGAAAAGATAAACAGGTTGAAGATTATCTGAAGATAAGAAAAAGTTTGTTAGTACAAATTGGGGTCTGGTTTATTTCTTTAGTGAACTCTAAACAACCATTTTCCGTACAATTTACACCTCTTCTGACATCAGGCTTCATTTTAATGAACGTGTGTTATATTATGGGATGCAAATGTGTAACATGGTTGACCACATTTAACTGATTTCCTATGCAAAGGGGAGGTTGGGGCAAGACAAAGGCCCCAGGATCCGCACTCCTGGCTCACCTGATAAAGGAAGAGAAGGGGACGGAGACAGGAAGGGATTTCAACCAGTGGTACGCATACCATTGGTGGTACATTGGCACGTGGCAGGTGGTATGCGGCTCTGCCCAGCCCAGCCAAGGGTAGCGTGGAGGGAATGAGCCAAAGCGCCGTAGCACAGGACTTGCCATAAGAGAGTCCTCAGGAGATGCAGGGCTGGTTGGGGCAAAACAAAGGCCCCAGGAGCAGCACTCCTGGCTCATCTGATAGAGAAAGGAGGAGGAGGGGGCAGTTTGGGTGGGAGAGAGAGAGAGAAGAAAAGACTCTGGAGAAAGAGGCAGAAGAGAAAAGGCTTTTCTCACGGAAGTGGTGAGAGAGAGAGAGAGAGAGACAAAGAGAGAGAGGAAAGGATTTTGAAGGAATGTTTTCATGAGAATGGGAAGGATTTGGAGAGACGTGTGTGTGAGAATGTGGAGGATATTGGAGGAATGTGTGTGTGTGAATGGGGAGGATATTGGAGGAACATGTGTGTGAGAATGGAAGCGCTGGGTGAGCCGTGCTTTGCAGGATGAACCAGGCGGACCTATGCCAGCACACCCATCAGCATCAGGAAGGCTTCGAAAGAGGTAACTGCTGGGGGGGAAGCAGGAGGCTTTTCAGCAAGTGCCGCCAGGCCTGCAAACGCAGCACTGCCGCTCTGTTTTCCAACCCCTAAATTCCGGAGTATAGTTGGGCAGCCTTTGAGCACTGCTGACAAGCTGCAAATCTGCTGTAGTCTCAGCTGCTGTCCCCTTTCTTGGCTAGGTGAGACTGGAGCGTTCAGCCTTTAGTCAGGGCTGCCGGCATGGCAGTGGGCGGGAGCACCGGGTGAGCGCCACTTTGCAGGATGAAGCGGGTGGAGTTCCTTGCAAGTCCCACCCCAGCTATGGCAAGGAACTGCAAGTGCGTCTGCGCCCAGAGGGCAAGGAGAAGGAACCAGAGGATATATATTAGATATATTATATCTAATATAGTAGATATATTAGAGCAAACATGGAGAACTGGAATAACAAGGAGACAATTTAACAAATACAAATGGGCTAGTCTTTCCAGAAAACTGGCAATCAAATGGTCTCCTTTAATTCAAATAATGTATATAAGAATGGAGGGAGATCTATTTGATGACTTAAAGGTGCTGATATGTGAGCCTAGTTGGCAAAGGAAGAAAGCTAGAATAAGATTGGAAAAAACTGGGATTTTGACTCATTAAGGGGGATTTTATATTGCCAATTAGAGGGTTATTGAAAATAAGGATTTTATTGGTATAATATTGAAAAATTAGACTTAAAAGGGAAAAGAAAATTAAATATTATGAATATGTTTGATTTATTGATTAACTCAGGCAATATAAATAATGGTTTTGATTTATTAAAGGGGATATGGTGGAAAATAGATAACTCTTAGGAAATAGAACAAGATTATATGCTAATAGATAAAATGTGTATTTTGGATATTATAGTTTGTTATGAACTGAGATAAGGGAAAGTTTGGTTACCCAAAATCTGAAAATTATAAATATCAAACGTTAAATTGGAATGTTAATAAGAAATTAAAAATTGAGTAAAAATCAATATGGATTGTTTATGAAGATTGAATGTAATTAAGATATGTATAAGCTAAAAATTTATTGATAAATATAATAATGATGTTCTTATTGAGTTAATATAATTAGAAATGTACTAATCTGAATATGAGACAGTAAATGTTAAGGGAAAAAGAGAAGAAATATTTGATGTTGTAACCTGAGATTTGCACTAAGATTTTGTTATTGAACTATTGATTAACCCAGTCACCACGTTGCTTTTTAAATATTCAAATGTAAAACTGGAACATTAATAAAATATTATTAAAAAAAGAAGGAACAGAATATTACAGATAGCCCTTGACTTAGGACCCGTCACTTAGCAACCATTCAAAATTATGACTGACCTGAAAAAGGAGAC